ACAATATTCACTCATGCAGCGACTGATTATCGAGAATTATTGGATACCTGCTTTAAAATCCAACATTCATCGAGCAATTTCACAATGCACATCATGTACCAGATGGTTGTCAAAACCTATACAGCCGGAAATGGCCCAGCTTCCAGAAATGCGCCTTAAACCAGCCAATGTATTCGAGAACACAGGGACGGATTTATGTGGATATTTCAACATTCGAGCATCATCTTTGAAATTTGACCGAACAATGAAAGCTTACATAGTTATATTTATTTGTATGGTGACAAAATGCGTCCATCTCGAAGTTATCAAGTCCTTATCTACAGAAGAATTTCTATTAGCATTTTCTCGATTTGCCTCAAGAAGATCTACGCCAAAATGCATGCATTCAGATAATGGATCAAATTTCATAGGATGCAATAGACTGCTCAAGGACACATGGAAGTCAATTCAAGGTGAAGCAAAGAATAGCTTAGCATTACAAGAGGTGGATTGGAAGTTTATCCCTCGATTTGCACCAAGTATGGGAGGTTTGTGGGAATCAGGAATTGGAGCCCTAAAAAGTTTTTTGAAACGGATGGAAAATATTAAAAACTTGACGATCGATGAATTTCAAACAATCGTGTGCAAAATAGAGTATTATTTAAATTCACGTCCATTATACGCACTCGGTCAGAAAGATTTAAATAACTTAAGTCTTACACCGTTTCATTTTGTACTTCAAAGAACAGGATCGATACATCCCATTGAGACAATTAACTCTAAATTGCCTCTAACAACCAAATGGCTACAAATTGTGCAACTTCAAAAGGAATTTTGGAAAGAATTTATCAGAGAATATTTAGTAACTTTACAAAAGAAGACAAAATGGACCAAACCTGCAAAAAATTTGCAGATAAATGATGTTGTAATCGTTAAAGAGCCACATTTACTGCCAGGTCAATTCAAATTGGCAAAAATCACGCAAGTTTTTCCGGATCCAAATGGTGTAGTAAGAAAAGTACAAATTGAAGATGCACAAAAAACGAAATACACGCATGCAGTTAACCAACTCATTCCTCTACAACGTGAATTAATTCAAGGCCATACTATCCAACTTGATAAGCAACAGCAAACTGACACCGGAAAGGAAATTGATGCTCCGGTTCCGCTGAAGCAGAGACTCAGAAGTCAGCGAAAAATCACAGCTACTCAAGTTCTCGTCACATGGCTTGCACTAATGCAGGTTGCTAATGCACAAATAACACAATTACAACCAGGAATTCACACCATTGAGCTAGGAAATGCACAAATACTATCATCAGCTATTTCAGTGAAGGTATTAACCGGAATAAATGTATTAGAGGACAAAACATTTATACTAAATAAAATTGGAAACTTTACTCATACATGCAAACACATAGCCCCTGAAATACACACCTATTGTGATCAGTGGAAAAAATTGTTGCACTATGAAGCTGAGCAAGCTTTCATGACGTTTGAAAGCGGATTTTCAACACGCAAAAAACGTAGTTGGGGATGGGCAGCCGTAAAGGGTTTTGCGGTTATAGCACCCCATATAATTACAGCAGGAGTAATGACTTATCAGCAATTTGAAATGAATCAGCTGCATGATGATCTTGTGAACAGTCAAAACAAACTCTTAAAAGCTACAGACATTGTCAATAAAATAACTAATGAAGCAACAGCAATGTCTAATGCAAAAATTAAAGAAGTCAAAATGATTCAGAACAAAATTGCCAACCAAAATCAAGTTCAGAGTGATGTTCAACAAATTTCAGAAATTATTGCTTTAGTAACATCAAAATATCTCGATCTTGCGAACATGCAACCATTGGATGAAGTTAGAAAGCTCTTAAAAAAGCATAAAGATATCGAGAATTTAGAAATACCGGAGTTGTCTGACCCAATGGATTTATTCAGCATATCTACTAAAGAAAAACTCTTGCAGCAAGGTGAAATTGTCATAAAATACAGCATTCCAATGGTCTCATCCACAAAATATAGAAAAATTGCAATAATTTCTATTCCATCTACAAACAGAGACATAGTAAAAATCAGCAAACACAGTGAATTATGTCATAAAATAATCATGGATGAGGAAAATTCAACATTTGGGATGATTAATGATCTGACACACTTTTATGAGGACATTTATGAAGACAACAGGTTGCAAAAAGTAACGGAATGCATAAAAAGTCTAATGAAGGAAAATGCCACAGCCTGTGACATAACAAAGGTGAAGGAACTTCAAGATGAAATTATCCAGCTGGGGGAAGAGATTCTCATTATAAATGAAAAAAACGACACCAGCATCACTTGTTTAAAGAATGATGGCAACAAAACAATGAATAATCAACAATTGTTCGCACACCTGATCAAATTACCAGCAGCATGTACGATCAAAACTCAGCGACACATGTTCTCACATCCACAAGAGGAATCAATTTCATTAGCATCAAATATCTCATTGGATCTTCGCAACATAAAAATTGAATACCCAAAAATCATACTAAAAAATAATCTCAGCATGATTGAAAAACAACATCATGACGTCACATCAGCATTAACACAACAATTAGAATCAGTTCTAAACAGCGATCAATTACAGGCATTCGGGAATAGCATTACAAAACAACCATGGTTTATGTATGCAATATGGGCTGCCCTAGTAATTACATTAATTATTACAGGGTTATGCTATAAAATATGCAAGCCGAAAGAAACAACAACAAGACCCGAATCATCCTTTATTAAATGGAGCGACCTGTGGGCAAGTAATCATTCAACTAGTATAAATAGCCCTAACTACAGCAATTAAGAATTAACTAAAACTTATAGTAATAGTGAAAGTGAAAAATTGATTGAACATTAAAGATTTATTCTAAAAAATATATAAGTGAAAATAAAAAATATCTATTTTTGAAATTAAAGACTTCATAGAAACACAAAAGATAAAAACAATAAAAAATAGTGATGGTGATGATAAAATGTGCCAAATGCAAAGGATGCAACAACCGCGCCGTCTTTCTGACCAATTGTGGTCATGCATTTCACCGTGCTTGCATTGACAATATGCAAGTTCGAGGTGCAAAAAAGGTGTGCTCAGTATGTGACAAAACTATATTGCTTACAAAACTACGTGTATTAGATATCAACATTGATATGCCGAACAATACACAGCAATTATTGGACACCATTAAATCGCTTCAAGAAGAAAAAAAAGCGGATGCAGCCACTATCGAGATCCTCCAAAAAACGAATCAACACAACGAGGAATTGATAAAAACGTTCAAAAACAATATGCGTGAACATATTGATACGGCAATAAACAACAAGCACATAGAGCGTATAGCTCTTCTCACAATGCTTTATGAGCACAAGAAAGTGGCATTGGAGCTAATCGGCAACATTTATCGCAAAGAAACTGGTCGAATGCTGCCATATCAACTACAACTACTTATGGAATCTGGCAAGCATTACGAAAAATGGAACTTGCATAACAACATAATATCAGAAATATTAAAGAAAGCAGGAGAGCAATTTTACGGTGGAAATGGAACGACAATGAACGCAGCAGCACTTCAACTACCAACATTGGAAGCTTTTATCCGCAACCCATCAGTGGCCTCATCAACTATCAGTCAAAGCACAACTGTAGTCTCATCCGAAGGAATAAAAGAAGAATAAAGCGCCCCCGGAAATTGTTTTAAGTTTATCTATACTTTATTATTTTTTTTACAAGTTTATGAGTCATGGACATACATGAATCATAGTTCACATGAGTCATGAGTCCATGAGTCATGATAACGTAAGATGACACCTTTGGGTGTCATCTTACAGTTATCAATTATAGATTCAGACTATAAATAGCATGTTAGATTTAAGAACAGTGCAGTTTAACTTTAACTTTTATACGATACAGTTATCAATTAACTTTTATAATAAACAGTTCAATAAAAATATTTAAATATAAAAACCAAGTGATTTAAATACAAAAAACAAGCATCTTTATTGATATTGCATAATAATTATTTCATGCAATTATTGAGTTTTATTTATTTAATCGATGTTAATTTGTGAAGTGGAGGTGAAGCTGATGGTTGTTTGGTGTGAGGCTGCAGTTGGGTGGTTGACAAGAGAACTTTTTGCAACAGATTTGGGCAACAAAAGTTGATTGGGATGAGGAACTGGACGAAACTTGGAAAGGAAAATTTGATGCTGTAATTCAAAATATGCATAAATTAGCAGACATTAAAATAACAAGATGGCTCAACACGTCAAATTTTCCTTTCCAAGTTTCGTCCAGTTCCTCTTTTTTTTTTTTTTTTTTTTTTTTTTTTTTTTTTTTTTTTTTTTTTTTTTTTTTTTTTTTTTTTTTTTTTTTTCTTTAGCAATTCAAATAAATTCTGATCCAGACGTGCGCTAGTGCATTTGGCAGCTAATTAGAGTTTGACGTTGAAAATTAGACAGAACACTTGAAGTACAGCATAAAGTGAGATCCGAACCACTACTTAGATGACATTAATGCCTATAGCCTAAATAGGAAGACTTTGAGCTGCACATATGGTTGGAAAAATACAAGCTAGTAGAAGTAGATGCAAAGTGGTAAAATGGCGTCAGTGGCCTAAAATGGTAGAGCGTTGGCCTTACGTGCCAAAAGTTTTGGGTTCAATCCCAGGCAATATCTAATTGTCGAAGCTCCTTTTCCATTTCACCGTTCTAGTTACGAAGCTCGGTTCGTGCGTTAGGTGTAGTATTAAAGCTGCAACTTTTTATTTCGAAAATATTCCAAAAAAAATTGTTGCATCCTTATCAAAATTTGGAATCATTTTGTTACCAGGGAAAAGTTTTCATTTAATTCTGACCAAATCCGCGAACAAAAAAAATTCTCTCATTCTCTCGCACGTCACCCAAAAAAAAAATAAATATTCAGCGATTATTACTCACATGCTCACTTTTCGTCTTAGCATTTACTTTTTTTTTTTGGCACTTGATTTATTGGAGATCGCTGGTCTACATTCATTCTCACTCGCGTGATTATCGTCGATGGTTGTTTTTCTTTTACTTTCCTGTGTGTCATCGACAAATAATTAAAATAAAAAAAAAGTTTTGTTTTTCTTGTTGAACAGAAAAAAAAGTTTACAAACTGAAAATGTTGCTCATTATTCAGCAATATTTTAAGTCGATATTAATATCATTTAAGCAGAGACCATTAAATACATTTGCAATTGATCGATATATGGAACTATTTGGTGCACTTTTGTTTGGATATATTGTGTTTTTTATCGAATTGACATGTGCTTATCTTTTTTATCGCATGATTGTAAGTATTGAATTCTAAAAATATTATTTCGTGATTTTTTGAACCAAACTTTGATGTAATCTTAGTCATGAAAGTAAACAAATATTATCAGTGCCGGCATTTTTTTGGAGTTCATGATCGTTCATTCATTGTTTAATGACGATTGAAAATTTTAAGAATTCTTGTTAAATCAAGAAATATTTAAGTATTGATTGACATTTCTATCTGTGATGCGAGAGTTGGGTCTCAGATTCCAGTGCGAGAGTTGGGTCTCTGTGGCACGGATGGCTGTCAACTGACAAGATCAGATTGATCCTATTCAGATCAGTTCTAATCTAGTAGTGCTCCAGGGTGATTCGAGGCTATTGGGAGTTTAATGAGTGAAGAAATCACTGCACTCATACCTAGACCTGTAGTTTATAGTGGGATCCAAACCACTCTTGTGATGACATTTCTGCCTATAGGCTTTAAATCTCATTTCCAGTTCATATGGTTTGAAAAAGGACAAGCGAAAAATTTCCCATGACGAGTCTCGAACCCAGGATCGCTGTGTTGATTTTGCAATGATTAGAAACCGAAGTACTTAACCATTCTGCTACCGATACACTTCATCTCACATGACAGGATATATTATATAACCTTCTTTTTGTGAGAACTTGGGTTTGATTCCCACCAGAAACCGACCTCTAAATCGTTATATATTGGTGATGTAACAAAGATTAGCACAATGCTCTCGGCATTAGACTTACTTTCTGATGAGAATTGAACCCACGTTTTTAAAATATTAAATTTTCTGGTCTGTTGCTCAAAAATAACTTGACGTCCTGCAGGGGTATAGCCAGGAATTTAAAGAGGGGGGGGGAACAATTTTTTTTTTGTATGGAAAACTTTTAGGGGGGGGTCGAGTTTTTCATAAAAACTATAGCAAAATGAAAAAATTTCTTAAGACGTCCCCCAAATCCCCTCCCCCTGGCTACGCGCCTGACGTACTGTATCTCCAATGAATTCATTACCTTGTTACCCTTTGATCAAGCATTATAATCCTTCCTTAATATTTTTATCATACGCTAGACGGCATGTTAGTAAACAAAATATAAAGTTCACATTAAATATCTTTGATTAATTTTTATCAAACTTAACAAAGTAACAAAATAATGTTGTCGAGTGCAATCCCTCAAAGACAATAATCTTATTCAGTAATTATATTTTCATGACAACTGATGCCTATCTTATCAACAAAAAAAAAAAAAGCATTCCCAAGGTCAAAAACAATCATGAATTTTAAAACGAAAATATTTATTTACATCTATGCAAGTCGGCAACTGATTAAATTATATTCTCAAGAGGTTACTGACTTCAATGCTATCCTCACATCTTCACATTAATCTTTCATAATGATTTTATTATTTAATTTTTATTTATTAAGTGACCCTGTGGGGTTGTTCATGAATGACGTCTATCGAAAAGTAAGATTTTGAGTTCATGTTTTATCATTTTAATGTGAAGCAGCTGTCTTACTTGCTCCCCCAACTCTTCAAAATTTGACATCATTTATGAACGACCCTAATCATCGAATAAAATCATTTCAGTTCTATGGAGGTCCATTAACTCATCTCTTTCTCGCCGGCTATATAATATTCATGATAATCGATAGAAAAGCAGACAGAGATTGCAGCAGGGGGCAAGGGTGAGTTTAAATGAATTTAAATTTACATCAAAAAAATAAACAAATTAATTTTATTTGTAGATCTGATTGGATTCGAAATATGAAAATATTTAAATATACATCGAATTACTATCCAGTAAAGCTAATAAAAACAGCAAATTTACCTGTAGATAAAAATTATTTATTTGCAGTCTTTCCACATGGTGTGATTTGGTAATTAAAACTAATTAACTCAATTCAATATTCAGCACATTAAGTATCTAATTACATAATCATCAACAGTTGTGGCTGTTATTGTAATTTTGTCACGAATGGAACAAACTTTCATCAGCTCTTTCCAGGCATTCGATCACGTATGGTATCACTTACATATCATTTTTATATTCCATTCTATCGTGAATTGGTATTAGCGTGGGGTGCAATGTCAGCTAAATATGAGAGCATTAAGAACGCATTAGGACAATCGACTGATGAAAATGCTCCATTGAATATTAAGGATGGATATAGGTCAAATGCGGTAAAATGACTTTAATTGATATTTGAGGACAATTTATAGTAATTGTTGTTTTTAAAGGTAATCTTATCAGTTGGTGGTGCACAGGAAGCTATGAAATCCAAGCCAGGAGAGTACAAAATATATTTGAAGAAAAGGAAGGGATTTGTTAAGGCTGTGCTTGAGACTGGAGCTTCTTTAGTGCCTGTTTTTAGTTTTGGGGAGGGTAAGTTGAATTTTCTTTCTTTTTGATGTTATTTTTGAGGACTAGGATTGCTTTAACACTAATAATTTAACACTGATTTGAAGGCACACACCAAAAATACATTACTGGGCTATGATTAGCAGATAAATGCAGCCTTATTGATTAATTGTTCAAATTTCTAATCTTTATCTCAATTATCCATCCACAGTTGACGTCTACGATCAAATTGACGGACCAAAGATCAGAAAATTCCAAGTGATTCTAAAGCGTCTCACAACAATTGCTCCAATCATATTTGTTGGACGAAGTTTCCTTCCAGTTGGTGGAATTCCCTACAGAAAACCTATCAACACAGTTATTGGAGCACCAATTGAAGTTACAAAGAATCCAACACCATCACAAAGTGATATTGATAATTTACATGACAGATTTATGGGAGAATTGGAGAAATTATTTGAGGAACATAAGGGGAAGTATCTTAAGAATGCAAAGGATGTTAATTTAATTATTGAATAAAGTGTGAATGATTTTTTAAGTGGATTTTTGATTTTAATTTTTAAGCAGGGGCGTGACAAAGGAACCCTCCCCCCCCCCCCCTCCTAGGTTCATATTCCAAACTGCTTATTATTCCCAGCTCTTAATATCTTCCTACAATATTCCAAAGCCTTTAAACTCCTTTCAATAACGTCCTTAACAACAATCAAACAACAAAATTTTAACATCAGCTTTCCTCACTAAACTAATGAAAGCATTTACGATAGCTCGAGATAATGTGCCCTTGACCTCAAAAAGCACATCTACGTGATGCATTGATAGATTGGTAGGCAATTTCATCTTGTATATTGCCAAATTGAATACGTCTATAAGTGATTGATTGCGATTGATTTCAATTTTAGCACATGCTTTTTCAATTTATCCATCAGGCTGCTTTTGCTTCTTTTTTGTCAGGACACATACACAAAAATCTTATGAACTTTGATTAGAAAAGTTTGAATCTAGTCCCGGGATGTGTATCCAGGTGAGTTTGGTAACTTTTTATACAATCGATTCTCTTCATCCATCAAAAAATAGTTTTGATTTTAATCATAAGGTTAGTAAGATGCTTAATCCATCAAGGTACTGGTTTTTAGAGGTCCTAGGTGTATCCTGCACTAGATCTTAAAGCTAATGCGCTCCTCACTATGGTTTAAATAAAAATCGAGTGAGATAATGTAATGGACCCTGACTAGCTATTGAATCAGACCTCCTAAAACACGAAAGTCCCATTAGCACATCAGACACATCAGACAACAGGTCCAGATTCCCAATCAATCCATCAATTCTTTCTTAATCATTTCCCGCTCGGGTTCTTTAAACTCTTTAAATTGATAATGTTCACATCATCTCAAACTGACAATTTTTCAGTCGATTGTGAAGTTCAAAGCAACAACAAGAAAAAAAATTTCATTTCCTCATCTTCATGATGACACAAGAAGAGTGAGAGTCAGACAAATGTGCAATAGGAATTGAAATATGTGATGATAAATTATCAAATGAAATGGAAATGAAAAAGTACACTGACACATTTAAAGAACGGAATGTAGAATGAAAAGGAAGGAGAAAACATCATGCACGAGAATTAATTAATGAATTCGTAACGGCATTGAATGAATGAAAAACGTCTGCCATATGGTACTGTTCACTTATTACGTAACGCGAAAAAATGACTTCTTAGACCCCCCCCCCCCTCGTAACAAAATTTGTATGAAAAAAAAATTTCCTTGTTTGAACCGTAACAAAATCTTAGACCCCCCCTCCCCCTAAAAGCGTTACGTAATAAGTGAATGTCCCCTATGGCACTAACAATTTCTGGCATCAACACCTCAGAATGTTGAAATTTAAATTATGTTTTGCTGTAGGGTGAATAGAGGATCACTTCAGGTAACTATGGGCTGTAAAGGAGTGTAGCTGTGAACATGGCTCGAAGAGCATACCTGTAGTAGATTAGCCTGAGCATAAGGTTTGCGTTGAACTGGTTATATGTGTATGGCGGATAGCTGAAGTGAGATAAGCACCTGGTTGGCCGAGTGGCAGGGATCTCTAATCGAGTGGTCAGAGATCGCCTCTTTTTAAATCGTGGGTTCAATTCCCATCGAACTTGACTTGTTTGAACTGTCACATATAGCAGTTATAGGGAAATCTACAGTAGCTAGCCATACTTTATAATTGTGTTTCTAAGCAACTGGTGTCTTCAGCTTATAGAAGGGTTTAAAACATTTTTATTGTTCTTCAAGAAGATAGATAGTCAGAGTAACAGCCTTAAAAGTCATTTGAAGAGATTCAATACTTTTTAAAAATGTTTATTCCAAATAATCTCATCATAGGCCGGTTTCTAGTGTCACTTAGAGCCAACGTTCCTCATTCAGAGCCTAAGATATGAAGATCTTAGATCACTTAAGAGTGTAGTCCATCAATTTGGAGGAAGGTTGTTTGAAGGAGCTCAAATAACAAATCCAACGCACCGAAACTATCGCTACAGCACTTAAACTAGTGATTTTCAGAAGTTTAGATACTTCGGCTTCTTAGGTGCAGCAGTTTAAGACGTAAAACACGAATTAGGCAATGTGAGATTTAGGAACGGATCAAAAATTATGTAGACAGAATGAGAAAGATACGAGAGCCATAAATTAACCATGAAGGGCTTTTACTGGAACGAACCTGGAGACATTGCGAACATTACTGAAAATTGGAACGAGAGCCGAAATGAACACTGGTTCTAAGATCTATAAAAGTTTTTAATTGGCTGCTGGACACAACTGCTTATGCGCTATACACTGAGCTAGCGTACATAATAAAGATTTAAGAATAAAATTGTAGCGCTTAAAGGTTCAAAATTGAACTGTTGGCTCTGCTTATTCTCGAACTCAAGCTTCTTAAGTCTACTTCAGATACAGCAGCTCTAGACAAATCAAAATTGTTGATTTTTTGCACAGTAAAAACACGACAGAATATGCAAACACGTGCTGATGTTCGGCAAAAAAAATTCTCATTTTATTTTCTGACTTCTCCCCATTGTACGATAAACATGTGGCACAAGTTCCCACTTTTATTAAATTTTTCCCATGAAACCGAAAATTACTCCAGCATGCATTTCAGTTTAGTCGTTCATGTCATTGCATTACATTCGCTGTTATTCTCATCATCATGTTCTTTATTATTATTGTTGTGTTATTCTTCTTTTACAATAGCTGAATATTCATATTTCTCTTGCATACATAATCATCATAATTCTCTCTGTAGAATGCTCAACTGTTCATATGTTAATGTGCTTACATTCAACCTACACAGTCGTCAACATAAATGCATGTACGTAAAGAAATTATTTATTTTTGTCATCAAAAGGATCCGTGAAATGAAATTTAAGATGAGATTAAAGGAAAAATGTGACAATGAATTTTGAGAATGTAATTTGATCGGCTTTAAGGATGAGAAATCTTTGAAAATTGTTAATAATGGATTTGGTTCAATCACAAAAATGCTCTTGCTTGAGCAAAATTTTAAATCAAAGTCAATTTTTTATGAAAACGTCAAAACATGCAAAACAATCAAATTTTGGCAACATTGCAGCAATCAATTCAAATCGAACATCCGTCAATTCTACTTAATAAGTAACGTGTTGTTATCTTTAAACTTAAAATTTCTTTGCTATCTTTTTAGCGCATTTTTGAAAACTTGTTTTCGAAAAGGAAGCTGAATAATACACTTTGTTCGTTCGTTCGTTCGTCTGAAGAAAAACGTTTTAACCAGACATCGTAGAGAGCTCAGGTTCGTTTTATTAACTCCATTACTATTGTTTATTGTCCGATCGAACAGTTAAAAGTCTTGAAACAGTGTATTTATGCTATAATTAATGAATTTTTATTTTGTTTTCAGTGTAACCTGCTCAAATTTTATTTTACCTCTATAATTTCAACATTACCTCTATAATTTCAAAAAATTTCTAGCCGTTGTAAAATTTGAATTTCAAAAAACCGTTGAATGATAAGCTTTTTCTGTATGGAAATTCATTGCAACAAATTATTTAATTATACTATAACTAATGTTTTCATAGTGCAACTTTTAGCGATAAAATATCAAATCATTTATTGACCGTTGAATAATAAATCCTTTCTATATAAGCATTCATTGTAATTATTTGTTAATTACACTAAAATTATTGATCTTCTAATCTTCTCATGATCTGTAAATGAACGCAAAATAAATAGACAGTCAAATGCTGATCGCTAACACAAAAATGCGCTTAAGTCCCTCGATCAATAACATGAGGACTTCTGTAATTTTTTAGAAGCTTAAACGCAGTCCAAAGTTGAAGACAGTCGGATTAAATTTCGTTTTTAAAAAATTAGTAAAGTTTTTAATTGGTTGATACTTAGTGTACTTTATAAATATTGCTAGTTTATTTGTAAGTTAGCTAAAATATCAAAAAATAAATCATAATTCTTTGTTTAAAGAGCAATCATAAAAAATAAATAAATTGAAACAACTTAAAGCTGACAAAGCAATCATAACACTTAATAATGAATTCGATCGGAACAATCAACACATCTTACATAGTGGAATATGACGAAAATAGTGAAAATGATCAGAATCTAGACAATAAATTCATAGTTAAAGTTAAATCTTCAAATCTAAATGATGTCATCATTTTATTTAAAGAACCGAATTTCGAAAGATTCATTCATGAAGCATTCAATTGCTTCATTGTGTGCGTCGAGTTTGAAAGCAATGAAGAAGAAGAAGACGATGATGATGAATATACAGCAATGCGTTTGGCGGAAACATTCAAGGCTGATCGACTTATCATTTTGGAATTAAATCAAAATTTGTGGATTAAAAAATGTTTTCAGAAAATATTTTCTAATTTAAAAAGTCCAATAATGAGGATGTATCATCAACTTTTAGAGGACATCAATTATGAAGGGAATTTTCTTAACACACATCTAGAACTATTACATTCAAAGTACCATATAGGACCAGGCACAGAAGATTTTGTGATAAAAATAATAAAATTGTTTAAATTTAAGAATCAAAAGGAAGTTGATGAGGAGTTATTCGAAATGGCCATAAAACAAAAGTGCTCATTTGAAGTCATTCAGTCGATGATTGACTTCCATAAAGATTCATCAAATGGAATTAGCAAACATGCAGTCAATGCTTTGTTTTTGGCTAAAGGAATGAAAGTGTTTGATGAAGAAACTATTCAAAATTATAAACAGAAATTGACGAAGAAAGAAAAGGAAAAAATCACAGATGAAATTGGAAAATTTCATAGCAATAAGGACTCATTGCTGTTGCATGTATGTTCAAGATCAAGAATAGCTCTTATCGTTGAAGTAAAAGAAGATGAGCAGCTGCAGAAGATTAAAGAATTTTACAAGGACCTAATTGATCTTAATTTAGATTCAGTATCAAATTTGCTAAAGATTGTCGATCACAAGCTTCTCATTATCTTTGACTTTGATTCCGACTCGATAGAACGATCATACTTGATGGGATCAAGATACAATCGAGGAATCTTTGACCAAGATCGAATGAGAATTTACATTGGCGCCAAGAATTCGAATAATCCATCAAGTCAGGAATACATAAACAGACATTGGGAAATAATCGGAATCTTGATCCACGAGATTTGTCATTATGTCAACTTTAAAGTATTCAACAACAACTGCAAGCCTTATCAAAAGGATGATGCCAACATTCAAGAATATGAAAGAATTGTCAATGAATATAAAAGTTGGATTGATCATCATGAAATTGTAGGCAGAGTTTTTAGTAATTATGAAGAAACAATGTGGCATGCAGAAATGATTGTTCGTGTTGTTCAAATGATTGTCACGTATAAAGTTCTGAATTCTAAGCATTTGAAGAGTCTTGAAGAAAAATATCAAAGTTTATTTTCGTACTTTAATAACACAGTTATGCCACAAATTAAAGAGTATCTTGATCCAGACAATCAGATTAAAAGACAAATCAAGGAAGTTTCTTCATTTAGATTGAATCAGTTTGAGATTAAGCCTGTCAAGCAAATAATAAACTTCGATGAAGAAAAATATATTCACTTTATGGAATCAAATTCACTAAAGTTAGCCATGGCAATGTTCTGTTTGAATTTTGCTGACGATTTTGCAATATTTACAACATTTACGGATTTGATGGACGAGTTTAAAGGAAATGAAGTTTTGCAACTTTGGAGCAGTGATTGGAGGATCAAAATTGTGATCTTTTGTGATCAAATCAATGAAAGTTCAAAATTTGATGAATGTATCAAGAAACTTGACAATTCAGACAGATTGAATCAAATATTCATCATTTTTGAGGAACAATCGCAAAACATTAAAAAGCTTAAATTAAAATTCACGAAAAAGATTGAGAATCTAGAAAATATGAACTTTAATTTCACAAGTTTAACTGAAGAGTCAAAAGACTTAATTCTACAAAGAGATGTGATATTTCAAGGAAATCAAACTACATTAAACAAAATCATTACAAAAGATTCAAAAGCTGCTCAATTTCTTCCAATAAATCACTTGTTAGAGTCTTCAGATCCAATTGTCATAGGAAGGTTGCCTGAAAAGAATACTGACTATGATGATAAGATGTTTATTGAAAGAAAATTGACTCACAAAATTAAAAATCAAGTTAAAGAGTTCTCTACAGAAAATATGGATGACATTGTGAAGCTATTATCCACAAAAAAGTACATAATAATATCAGATGAAGTTGGAAAAGGAAAATCAACTTTAATGACTTATTTGGCTTATCGATTCCTTAAAAGTGCACTTCCACATATTGAAGGCAAATTCTTCGTTGTCAAAGTTAACCTTTACCTTTATGCAAATATTTTAAGAGAATTTGAAAGAAATTTTAATTTAGTTGAATTTGTTTTCGATAATTTTGTAAAATCATCAGATTTCAAAGAGTTTGAACGAAAGGTATTTGAAGAATATTTTGAGAAAGAAAAAGTCATTTTAATGCTTGATGGATTGGATGAAGTTTTACCAACTTGTGAAACACAAACTTTAAGAATCATTCAAGATGCTTTTAGATTTGATTCATTAAAAGTCATAATAGCAACGAGGCCATTTGTTCTGAATAAATTAGAAACTTCTAAGACAGTTGTACTGAGTTTAAGTCCGATTCAATCAAGTGACCAACAAAATTTCTTGACGAAATATTTTAAATCACAAAATCAAATCGCAAAAAGATTCTCGAAATCTGAATTTGATGAACTGATTAAGATAATGATGCATAAGCTCTTCAGCGCTGTACGAGAAAATTCTGATGATTATAAAAATGAAAAAATTTTGTTGTCATCTCCATTGCATTTGAAGATGTTTGCTGAAGTAATTTGCAAAAAAATTCTGAACAGCAAATGCAAATTCGAGGATGCAATTAGCAGCATAACATTCTTAAATATGTACAAAATGTTCGATGAATTCTTTCAAAATAAACTGGCAATTGCACTAGAACATAAAGGAAAGGTGGTTAAAGATGAAATAAGAAATTTGGAATTAAAGGGACACAGAAGACCTGATTTTTACAATTCTGGCAGAAAACTAGCTTGGAATACGCTTCATCCTTCTTATAGAGAAAATCCTATTGAAATTAATGAAAAAGAAAAAGATTTATTGCAATACTATGGAGTAGTTTCAAAACAAAATAACGAAATTCATTTCATTCATCGATCGTACGCAGAATTTTTCATCGCACATTTGTTTATAGCAATATTAATTGAAGGAAATTGTTCATCCTTATCTAATTTTGCAAAAGAAAATTTTCTCGTCAGCATTTTGACAGGATATGATCTTGAAACAATTAAAGAATTTATTGACACAGCACTTTCTGACAAAAACTTATATGACGAGATTTCAAATGATAGCTTTGAATGCTTAGGCAAATTCATAATAAATGAATTCAAAACACTAGAAGGAAATGACAAAAATTTCTTGCACTGTGCGTTTTTTCATGAATTAAATCATGGCTTGCATAGAATTCCTAGAAAAGATTATGTTTTTGTATCACATTTGATGGTTCAATCATTAATTTACTGCAATGATCAAGAAGATGTTGATGTAATTAAGAATATCCTCCAATTACCGTGGGATATAAATAGTAAGTAACATATTTATAGTCAATTTTTTTAAATTCTTAAGTCACTCATTTGTGCACAAAGACTGATTTAATTTTTTTTAATCACTTCACAGATATACCAGAGCATTTAAAATCACCAGACTACAAATATTTGTACACAATGGAAACAGGAAAAAATCTTTTTCATCTAACTTGTGAGTTAGGAATTAATTCATTGCTTTTGGTGGTTTGGGACTTGGCCTTAAAGGTATTTCAAGAAGATGCAAAAGAGTTTTTCTTTACAAAAAGTTCTACGTCACCATACGATTTTAACTATGATGCAGTTTATTTTGCATTTAGACGAATTGAGCGAAATGAAGGAAAATTTACTTTACAACAATGTTTAAACATCGATGAAATGCGCCTTTTTAAAAATGTTAATATTTTTAAGAAAATTAATTTGAATGAAGCTGATAATTTTCAATCATCATCGCTTTATCTTCTTTTTGAAATTATGAAAAATTTAAGATTAAGCGACGAAGAAGTTTATGAAATTTACTTATCAAATATTGAATTAATTTATAAATACGAATTTCTTTTACTAAATCTAAATTTCTTAAAGGAGAAACTCACAGAAAATAACTATCAATTAAGTTTTGAAATTATATTTGCAATATGCCTGCAAAGTAAAAATCGCTGGCCTTTTATTAATGACTTGAAAGCATCAATTTTATATTCAGAATTGAAAAATATTTACAGCGACTTGGAAAAGTTAAAAGAATTTTTTAACATTCGACCGCATTTTTTTGATTTATTCTTTGAAGACGAAAGCAACGAGCAGGCATTTAATATATGTTTACAGACGTATTTCAATATACTAGATGAAGATCATTTAACAATGCTTTTATTAAACAAGAGTAATGATAATAAAAATATAATTAATAAAATATTTTCTTCAGTTGAAAATAAATGGATTGCCATTGGAAGGAAACAATTAATACTAAATTTACTGGAATCAAAATATACAGATAAGGAAAAGCTTTTTACTATTTTCGAACAATCTCAAATATTAGAAGTTTGCAGATTGTCAGAAGAAAATTTCTCTTTAGTTAATGCATTTTGTGAAAAACATTTTGAAAAATCTAAAATTCAAGCCTTATTGTTTTCTCCTGAAAATAGAGTTTAAAGTAGATTCAATGTTAATTAATGAATTGTATAGTTGTAATGAAAATTTCAATTGATGTAAAATAAAACAAAATAAAAAATATCACCAGACTGTCTCAATTCTTCCATCCATTTTCAATTTTAATTAAATTTATTTTCCAGCTATTCTTTGCAGAATATAAAATGAAAAAAAAACTTTTTATTTATTAAAAAAATATTGCAATATTTTCATTCATGCACATTTTGATTAAATTGATACACACAAATCCCCGAAATTGATTCAATTCATCATGGGAATTCGAGGAAGCAAGTGAGAGAGAGAATTTATTGCAAAAATGAAATAATTTTTATTTATTTATTTTATTTGTTGTTGTTGTCATTATTTATTGAAATAAAAATGTTATTCCATTCAGGAAACTGACAGAGGATAACAAATGAAATTTAAAAATAATATTTTGACCAGCTTTATTGATTGAAATCGATTTACATTGAGATACTTTGTGATTGATGGAATTACTTGGAATTAAAATAGAGCATATTTATTTAATTGAATTAATTTTGGATTATGAATTTTGGACTTTGAAGTTAAATTATGAATTTTTTGCAGAATTTTCCAAATTTTCAAACTTAACAAAAAAAGTTGTGGGGGCAGGCGCGTAGCCAAGGAGGATTTATGTCACAAATCTTTCTCCGCAAATAGGAATTTATTTTTTCATTTTGCTAGATTTTTTTTAAATTTTTTGTCTTCTACTCTTTAAATTCCAAGCTACAATTATTGACGTCCAAAATTTCATCAATCCTAATTTAATGAATTTCCCAAATAGCACAAGTCGGTCAATCGATTAGAAATCCAGCGCACAGCCACTATGACTCTGGCTTCGATTTAAATCCAGCAACATGCCAAAGTCTAATACGATGTTGAAAGAGCTATCAACAGTGAGCTTGTGGCATTAGCTAGCAATCACGTTAGATTCAAAAGTTTTTTTTTTAAAAAAATGCCCTAGACTTTACAGTAGAGTACAAGGACATCATCATCATCATGCCAGAGTCACACCGACTTGTGCGGGAGATTGGGAAAGCCGAAGTCTGGCTCCGAAATTGACCAAATGTCAAGTGCAAACCTTTTTGTGGTATCTCCTGATAACGCTAAATGTATCGCTGGCGACTGATCTCTGTGCCCGGATAAGTACTTAAAAGGATAGATTAAAGGCCTATCCAAACAACCTCGCCTGTAGGGTAGCAGCCCCACATTCAGGCTAGGGATGGTGAGTTTCACAACCAGCCATTTCCGAAATTAATTTGTACAAAGAAAGCAAAACCGACTTGTGCCATTCGGGTTTATTAACAAATCCACACAAAAAGACCTCAATTTATTTATTTTATTTTTTAACCACATTCAGCTCCAATAAACTTTTAATTGATTCCATTACAATTTTCAGTTTACCATAATTATAAATCTTCACAATTATAAAATCAATAATGTCTGTGACCATTCGGTTAAAGATTCCTGTTTATTTTCGTCTGCATAATGTAAAGTTCTTCTGTTTATTTTATTTTTTTTTATCATGTTTAACTGCATAATTGAATTAATTATCTCATTTCACTGCACTAAATTAAGTTGTGCATAATTTAATTTATTTGCTTTTGCTTTTTTTTCTATAATTGTACAATATTGGTTCACCAGTACTGTGGACATTTCGATATTGTTGGGCTACTTGAGCATCTTTATTGATATTGCATAATAATTATTTCATGCAATTATTGAGTTTTATTTATTTAATCGATGTTAATTTGTGAAGTGGAGGTGAAGCTGAGGGTTGTTTGGTGTGAGGCTGCAGTTGGGTGGTTGACAAGAGCCAGGGCCATAGCCAGAAATGCTATGGAGTGGATTTTCAAATTTTCATCTTAACTGGGGTGCATTCTCAACATCCGAGGGTCAGATCATCAATAAACATCTTCAAATTCCTTTGCAAAAATTTTGACTATCCCGGAAGGCACACGGCCAAAGATGTGGCACCAGGATGGCATGAAGAAAGCACCACGACAGATTTGGTGAAATAAAAATTCATTTTTGGACATTTTTACGCCGTGTGCAGTTTGAATAAGTTCCTGCATCCCTGCATCTCTCAAAAAAGCACTTAGTACCGAGAATCTTAAGCTATCAGCTGCTGTAAACTCGTTTCAATTCCTCAACATTCACTTCAATAAGCCACGAGTGGCCAATTTCATATAAACTTCTCTGAATATCATCGACAATAGAATAATTCAAATCCTATTCATAACTTTTTTCAAGAAAAATAAGCACAAAAGTGCCATAAAAACTCTTATTCCGCAAAGTTTCAACAAAAGCTCCAACAACAAAAGACCAAAAAAAAATAAAACTTTTTCCAAAGACGATGAAAAATCATCTCCAATAATTGACATTGATAATTTATTAATGAAACATGAGCTAGAACAACAAAAAGTACTTAAATTATGATGATGAAGGATGAAATGATGAGAGTCGTTCACAAAGTTTCAACTACAAAAAGTCAGAATTCATTAGAAATGCAAATGACAGCTGAAACTTTTTTTTGCTGTCACTAAAGCTTTTGTTATAATTTTTTGGATGGGTTACTAAATGAATTTTGCTATAGAAGTGAAAGAACAACGAGAAATAGACGAAAAAGATGGAAATTGATACTTTTTGAAATGCTTTTGTGGATGGGGAAAGGGTTGAATAATTAATTTTAGGGGCAAATTTAATTAAAAATTGATATTTTAGCTGATAAAATAAGTTTGAGAATTTTTGGAGAATTATTCTTGCATATTGAAGCTGTTGCAGTCATCCTGGATTCTTAAATGTAGGATATTGCATATCCAAACTTTGCAGCATCCAAATAATCCCCAATAAATAAATCCAACCCCCCAGACAGCTCTTATATCTCCTCCTTACTTACTTACTTCGCTGGCCGTACAGATCAATTGTGATCCATGGCCTCCCTTAGATGGCGCCTGAAGCTGACTCTGTCGCCTCCATCCCATTTTAAAGCATATTTGCAACAATCCATGCTTGACACAAATTCCACTTGCGATCTAAAACAAAAAAAAAATAAATTCAAAGACGAAAACTTTTTATCCAGATACACTTGAGAACTTTTCTTTCCTCCTATCAACAGCATCGGCTGAGTTTAATAGCTTTTAAAAGTTCAATTCCACACAATTGTATGTATAAACACAAACAATCCAAAATAAGGAAGGAAAAGAGAAAAAAATCTTGGTTTTTTAAGAGAAAGGAAAAAGTATTTTTAGAAATAAGAGCTTTTGTGGGTTGATCGAAAATGAGGTTTAATTTTTTTTAGAGGAGGTCTGAAGCTGTATAACCCTGCATATACATATAAAGCTGAGTTTTTCAGTATTTAAAGGAACAGAACTGATGAAGATTAAAAATGAGCAGAAATAATCGAATGTCAGTTTGTCAGTTCCGCACTTTTGGGTAGGGTAGGGCCACTGAACTATAGTGTACATCAAGTCGATGAATTAATGATTTGATGATTGTCATGAAGCCATTGGTATGAAATCAGCAGTGCCAAGACCGAATAGCAAAATTCGGTCGATTTATCAGAAATCCGACACCAAACCGATGTGACTCTGGCATGGCGCTAGATTTGATATAAAATCCGGCTCCATGTCAGAGTCACGGCTTGATCGAAGAACTGATTTGCGCTACCGGAAAGACTTCAATCAAATGATTTTTCATCAATTTCTAAGATTTTTAAAAAATTTTCCCTCCCATCCCCTCCTTAACCTCAAATATTTCTAATTAATACAACAGACCCCATAAAAAAATCTATGTTCACATCAAATCACATCATTCCCAAACGACCCCCATTTCCAAATAAATGTGAAACTTAAACAATTACAACTTTCACCAAGTTTAACAGGAGAAAATAAAATAAAAATGTTTGCAGCTAAGGATGGAAAATGGATTTTTGTTGTAACATTTTGTGGATGAACTTTTTTCTCTCCTTTTTCCTTCACTTCCCGTCTCTTTTCGTGAACAATTGCTTAAGCTTTTCGTTAAGAAAATAAAAAAATCTTTTTTAAGGAATAAGAAAGAAACTTCCTTCCTGAGAAAAATCTCAAATGCATGCAAAAATCATGGAAGTAAATTCATTCAAACATCAATTTCTACTTTGCTGCTTTATGACTAACATGATTGAGGATTGGAGTGTGTGAGAGGGACTTAGTTCCATCCCATATTCCCATATTTCATTAAATTTCATCGCGACAGAGAGAATTTTTAATATAAGTGGATTGGGATTGAGTCAATGTGATTGTATTTATGGTTTGGAATTTGATTTTCAATAGAATCGTGGCTAACAACGTAAGCATCCAATTATCAAAGGGGCCGTTCACATATGATGTCCAGGGGGAGGGGGGAGGGAAGGGGGTCAGTAGAAATTCATGGAAATCGAATGTTCTTTTTTGAAAAATTACTGTTAATTTCGGAAGTCATACGAATAATTATGGTGCCTTATCCCAGATTTAAAAATCATTAATCTAAAGTCTGAGATGTTAAATTATAAAATTTTGAATCTTACCCAAGCTCGGAAGCTAGGCGGTTTTTCATATAAAAAGGCTGTACTTGGAAGTATTTAGCGATATTTGAATGATGTGTCCTGGAAAACCTTCGAAACCCAAGCGACAAAAAGTTGATATGTTGGCAACACTTTGCAGAACCTTGTCATCGCTCAGGAAACAAGCCCTTCAGCTACGAATCATAGACTCACACTTTATAGGATTGCCTTTATTCTTTAGCTCATAGTAAGAGACCAGTCATTAGATAAATATGATTAAATTCAGAGGATTATTGACACAACCTTATCAGCTTCTTATCAAACCTACATTTTGGCTATAACACTCAAAAGAAACCATTAATAACTAGTGTATCGGGTAGAAACCTAATGCGGCCATATTCACACCGTACCATTTAAAGTCTTGTGGATAGACCAAGATTTGCTCAGCATATGTTTGAAGGTA